TGGAGCATCTGATGACGGAGTGGGAAAACACCTTCTTGTTATCATAAATATACACGTTTACTTCCACAATGCGTGCCTTACACCAAACACATTGGATGCTTCCTGTCAGGTTCTGCAGCAACTCGATAGGCTAGCTCCACCTTGCTATGTGTGAAACAACGACTTGTTTTTCTTAGTGGTGAAGTGCAGCCACAGTTTAGGAGACTTTTACACTTTTGACGTAGGCTGGCACAAGATATATCAAAGAAATTTGTTATCGCGATATTGGTTGCGTGCGATATCTTATCAACAATATGTGCGATATAAAAAAACACATACATGACACATCAACTTTCAACAAATACACGAACAAACAAAAAAGTATATAAATATAAGCTATTGAATATAATTAATGTTTATGCTTTGTTTCTTTGCTTTGTGTCTTTGTGGTTCTATGCAGATTGCAATTTTAGGTGAAAAAAAAAATATTGCAATAAAATCGTATCACAATGCTAAACTCTGATTTTGAATTAATTGCTCTAATTTCAATATTGTGCGCCCTACTTCTGACTCTTCTTATTAACTTCCCCGTTCTTGCCCTAGTGGCCTTCTCCATTCGTCCCGCCTAAAAAGTGAAGTTTAAACTAACAATTATAAGCTGGTGTTCGATAAAAGTGGGTTTTTAGAAGTGGATTTAAAAGAGGATGGAGCCTTATCTCCTCGGTGGTTCCAAGCTGAGGAGCCCGACAGAGAAGGCTCGGTCACCTTTCGTCCAGAGCCTCGACTTTGGAACAGTCAGCAAGGGACCGTGCCCGAGGATCAAGTCTGCGGGGGGGCCGTAGGGGGTTAAAAGTTCATAAATATTTGCATGGGGCCAGACCTAAACGACGTTAAAAAGTAATCCGTAAAATCATTAAGCAATTCTAAAACGCACAGGGAGCCGAGGTGGGACGCAACACAGGGGGTGTATTGTGCTCCCTTTGTTAAAACTATCCGCTCCTTGCCCATGCCTCGTCCATCCGTCTTCCAAAAAAGTAGCGATGCAGGAATATGGTACTGTGTAGCGTACGTAAGCATCCGTGATGTGTGTAAATCATAAAGAATTCCGTACAAAAACCGTGAGCTTTTAAACCGCTTAATCAAAGAGGCAACTTGGCGCATAACTTTAGATGCTTCAAGGAAATTATTAAATTTTATAACCCTTTAAAAATGCTCTTTTTCCCTAGACTTGGATATAACTTGTGAACGTGTAATTGAAACTGGTTCTATCACTTTTATTGCTTCCATGTTTGACTTCCTCGTGTGGTCACCTGTTATCTGTGCAGTACTTATATGATTAGTGACGTGCTGAACATGATAAAGCTTTGGTATAGATTTCATTGTCGATCCCACTGACGTCGGATCCGTGTGATGCTTCCGTTTTTCAATGCTAACCTGTCACCTTCGAACATCTTCAATAATGAAAACTGCAGTATTGATCCTGAACAACTAAAAAATAGTTTTCCTGATGTGGAGGTCAAAGCGCCAAGGAGGTAGAATGGAGAAAACATGTTCAATGGGGCCAATTATAGGAGTTGTACCAACAGAATGCTGTCAGGATGATTGCATCGAATCATATTTTGGACAATTTTTTTTTAACCCTTTTGATGATTCCTGGGATTCTCATCTTTCATTTTGTAAACATCATATATTCCATTTGATTACTCTTTTTTCTGCAATTGACATTTATATATGTCCACATGAAATCCTGTTATCCATTGTTACTTTTCTACTGTCGTGTCTTAGCAGTAGTTACACAGTGCCGCGCCAAACCTGTTTCACAGCCTTCATCTTGTTTGTCCGTGCCCTGGTTCCAGTGTGAAGGAGCTCCTTGTACAGATGGGCGTCTCTCTCCGGTTCCGTCTGCAGCTTTTGTGTTTCTGCTCACGTGCACCAGTTATTTCCATTATTGACCCTTCTTTTCCTTTTCTCTTCACTTGTGGCCGATGCTTTGCCGTTCATCTGCTCCAGTGTTTTTCTCCCTCGCTGTTTTAATATCCACTTGGTGACAGCTCTCCTCCCTCGTATAGATCCGCTGTCTGTGATGTCAGATGCTGAATGGGAAGGGTGATGGCCTGTCTTGCGCATAGGTCTGGGCCTCGCTTCTAATCATCTGCTCTTCACCTGGCAGGGAACAGGGAATTGAAACTCATTGGTGTTGTATGTTGTTTCTGGCTTTGTCAAGTTTGAAACCTGAAAATGGCTCACACTTTCAGATGGGCACTTTTTGAGATGCGCTGTGTAAAACCAGATGTCAATGGTATGCTCCTGTCTGCTCTGCAATGGAAGGGTTTTGGTCGCAGGTATAGTTGGAGCATCCCAGAAACTGTTGTGCGACTAACGGTTGCTGTTGAATATGTTTGTGGTCACTGTGCATCTGATTACTCTTATACGAAAAGAAAAACAGTTGGAATCCTGCGGAAGTTCACAATGTTGTGATTGCCAACTATTAAACGTAAAATCAGCAAACCTGTGCGAAATCACTGTCTGGTGTTTGTGAAAATCACTGTCTGTGTTTGTGAAATCACTGTGTCGTGAAATCACTGTGTTTTGTGAAATCACTGTGTTGTGAAATCACTGTGTCTAGTGCAAATCACTGTGTTTGTGAAATCACCTGTGTCTGTGAAATCACTGTTTTGTGAAATCATGTGTTTGTGAAATCACTGTGTATGGTGAATCACATGTCTGTGTTTGTGAAATCACCCGTCTGTGTTTTGTGAAATCACTTGAGTTTGTGGAAATCACTGGGTTTGTGAAATCACTGTCTGTGTTTGTGAAATCACTGTGTTTGTGAAATCACTGGTTTGTGAAATGGCACTCGTGTTTTGTGAAATCACTGTCTGTGTTTGGAAATCACCGTCTGTGTTGGAAATCACTGTGTTTGTGAAATCAACTGTGTTTGTGAAATCACTGTCTGTGTATGTGAAAATCACTGTGGTTGTGTGAAATCACTGGGTTTGTGAAATCACTGTGTTTGTGAAATCACTGTGTTTTGTGAAATCACTGTCTGTGTTTGTGAAATCACTGTGTTCGTGAATCACTGTCTGTTTTGTGAAAGCACCGTCTGTGTTTTGTGAAATCACTGTTTGTGAAATCACTGTCGGGGTTTGTGTAATCACTGTCTGTGTTTGTGAAATCACTGTCTGTGTTTTTGTGAAATCACTGTGGTCCCTGTGAAATCACTGTGGTTTGGAAATCACTGTCTGTGTTTGTGAAATCACTGTCTGTGTTTGTGAAATCACTGTCTGGGCTGTGAAATCACTTGTCGGGTTTGTGAATCCTGTATGTGTTGGAAAATCACTGTGTGTGTGAAATCACTGTCATTGAGTGGGATGATACTGTCTGTGTGTGTGAAAATGGTAAATAATCAAAAATACAAATGAAACATGGTATAATTCAAAATACAAATGAAACATGGCATACTGGTGTTTCACAAAAAATGGAAGGTCTTCCGTTCTTCAAAATGTGTGCTTTAGTGACATGTTCCTCCCTGGATTGCGCCACAGGAAACATTCGATTGAGTTTCTTTTGTTTGAATCCCAGGTAAGGCTTATACATCCGTAAGAGGACAGAACGTCATATTTCAAAACATTGGCTGGCATTAGATTTAAATTCCCCTAACACTTTATACTTTCCATGGGAAAACAAGTCCAGTAACAATGCCGTGGTCACGCCTCTGTACAGTTCTAGTGTGAGAAGGGCTTAATTCAACATCTTTAAACAAATATGTATTTTAATCCTTTTTACATATATCACATACCTTGGGAACCTGTATGGCCGGGGAGCTCACAGTCCACAGTGGTGAACAAAGACGCCTAGTACTCTTCACAAATAATCGCACAATCTTTGTGTAGCCAGCCATATGCATGTTTCACACTTGACCAGTTCTCTTTACAGACCAGTGGATACAATGTCTGAAGGAGAAAAATAAACAGCTAATTTCCATATCTTACATGGAATGAGGAGGGGCGGCAATAAGAACATTTGCCTGGACAATGCTCATAAGCCGATGCATCCATACTTAAACAATTTTTTATGTGTGGAGCCTGCGACCGTTTTGTTTTAAGATGTGTTGTTACAATAGGAATCCAGTTCAGTCACGACCATTATGAAGCCTTTAATGCCACATGGCAAACACATTTTGGCAATAAGCCTTCATCAGGGCATTTATCTCAAGATAAATCAGCATAGCTGCCTCTGTTGATTTAGCTGGCAGGGGTCCCATGTCTCGTAAAGATAACTTTACTTGTCCCTTTCCACTTCTGTCATAAAATATACAGGCATGTATGTCTTCGGCCATGCATGGTTCACGCACTTTTGCTCCCTTTAAAATAAAAAGTAATATATTTAATTCAACTACAGCTGATTAGACTGCCATAAAGCTCGGGATCATCATCACATCAGAATGGAATTTGGGACTTGCTGATACTATGTGATTTCTTTGATTTTCATTGGTTCCATTTTTATAAATTTTCCTGAGCTCTACAGCAGCCATCTTATAAATACTTGGAAGAATATGTTACCTGATCAAGAGCATCAACAACTAGCCTGGAGGCATGGTACATTCTTAAATGACATAACTGTATTGTATTGAGAGGGTCATTGCCCATTTTGACACCACGAATATAAAGTTCTGCCGTCTGCCAAGAGTAATATACATTTATTAAAATACCTTGGATAGCAATATACTGGCTAGTATTCATCACAAAACACCTACAGTGCAAACAAAAACTCCACAGTTAACACTGTCCTTTTGTCTCCACTGAGGTGGGTAAAGGACAGCCCATTCCTCCAGATTCCACACATTAGCAAAACCTTGCCTGAAAGTGTCAAATGTTGAATTTTGGAAAACACACACACGCCAATAGCCAATTACTGTGAATAAGCATACAATAAACCTTAAGATCTGCATCTCTTGATCTGATATCCTGGTATGTTGTGCCAGTGAATCAAAGATAGAGATTTCTTTTGTAGAGCCATTAAATGCCTTTTCAGAAAAGATGATTGATTGTTAGATAACAGTTGCCTTTCAATACACAAGATGCCAAAAAGCTTTAAGAAGTCACCCAGAGGATGAAATGATCTCCTGTCTCTGGGGTGGAATGGCCAACAATTCGGGGAAAAAGGACAATTGAGTCCTCCTTCAGTGTCTTTAATTGAGTAACACAATGTTAGTCACAGTTAAGAACAGGTACATAGTCAAATCCAGCCTGACCTGTATACATTTTAGATGTCGTGAGCTGATGTCTTCCCCATTTATGGAGTTTCGCCACCAAGCTGTGTAGTTGTACGTTTTCAACGCAAACACCTATGAATTCAAAGCTAAATTACTCAATGAGTTAGTTAGTAAGAAAGTAAGTAATACATCTTTATTAAAAAAGCTTCAGATTAGATGGAAACATTACGTTTTCCTTCTGTTTTGCCAACTGAAGCACCTGTGCATTTACAACCTGTAACAATAACAGTGTTATTGATAATAATAGTCACACAATTTATCTGCCAAAAGCGAAAATTACATAATCTGTAAGCCAGGGAGCACTGCAAGCATCTTCCGTTAAAAGCTCTTCGGGACAGAGACTCAAAAGATCTGCTCTGTAAACAAAAGCTTGATCCAGCTTCAAAATGGCGTAATCAGTCACAGGGCCTTTATAAATGTTCTCCAACTTTTTCTATAAAATGACATAACATTTTTATTTTTGACAATTAATTTAAGTACTATTGAATAACAAATAAAATAATTTAATGTTTATGTGCAACAGCAAAATGATAAGTGGAAATAAAAGTAGGCCTGCACCAGAAATGTTAAAAGAATATCTCTTATTGGATTTAAATAATAAAATCTGGTGTACTTCACCCACAGAATTGACATTATGTTAAAAATTCCATCTAACTCGTTCCTACGTCTCAAAACAGTTTGGCTCCAATACTAATTCAATTTGGAGAGACGAGAAACGAAAATGGTTTTGAGTATTTTATTGAGAGGTGGTTTGGCGCCCTAGGCCCCGGTGCGGCCTTCAGATCGGAGAGGCTCCTGCGATGGAGCGCGTACAATCCCCCGGGACCTAGGCACTGGTGGCGGTATTTTGGCAGCGGGAAGCAGATTGGAGGCAGATTGGAGGCAGGGTGAAGAGGAGGAGGAGGGGAGGCGGTGGTTGCGAGGCTTCGAGAGGCCGTGAAGTGGGAGTTTCTCCGCTTTTAAGCGGCTGCCTGTCCAGCACGGATGATTGGAAGGGGGCGTTTGCTGTGCGATAGGCTGGGGAAGCGAACCGGCCTGGAGGGGGTAGCTTTTGGCTGACGTCTACCAAATTGAATTTCCGCGAGCTGCATTTCAATTTGGAGAGACGAGAAACGAAAATGGTTTTGAGTATTTTATTGAGAGGTGGTTTGGCGCCCTAGGCCCCGGTGCGGCCTTCAGATCGGAGAGGCTCCTGCGATGGAGCGCGTACAATCCCCAAAAGGCTGTGTGTTGATGGAGTTTTGCAGCCTGGTTTGCAGGGGACAGACGTCGTGACTGCTCTATGCTGTGACCGCTATCGCTATGCTGTGACCGCTATCGCTATGCTGTGACCGCTATCGCTATGCTGTGACCGCTATCACTATGCTGTGACCGTTTATGCGCTAACAATTTTTTGCTATGCTGTGGCCGCTAACGCCTAATGCTATGACCGCTATCACTGACGCTATGACCGCTATCACTGACGCTATGACCGCTATCACTGACGCTATGACCGCTATCACTATATGCTATGACCGCTATCGCTATATAATAATAATAATAATAATAATGCATCGGTTTTATATAGCGCTTTTTTGGACACTCAAAGACGCTTCACATGTGTCATTATTCATTCACTCCATACACGGTGGTGATAAACTACTACTGTAGCCACAGCTGCCCTGGGGCACACTGACAGAAGCGAGGCAACCAGTATGTGCCATCGGCCCCTCCGACCAACACCAACCATTCACACACACACCAGACTCATTCTAGGCAATGGGGGTGAAGTGTCTTGTCTAAGGACACAACGGCAGTTTGGCACTTTACAGCCGCAGCCGCCCCACTGTGGCTGGTGTTCCCAGAGGCTAAGTGTCTTGCCAAGGACCCAACAACAGTAGTCAGTGGGAGTCGATGGTGAAAGTCTTGAGTGGGGCTTGAACCCAGGACCTTCTGGCTCAAAGGCCAACGCTCTACCAACTGAGCTACTGCCGCCCTGTGCATAACCGCATATGCTGTGACCGTTATATGCGGTTATCTTTGAGCGCCGGGACGTGAGCGCTCGCATCACGATCAACCGGACGCTGCAGCAGAGTTATCTTTGAGCGCTGGGACGTGAGCGCTCGCATCACAATCAACCAGACGCTGCAGCAGGGTTATCTTTGCGCGCTGAGAACGTGAGCGCTCGCATCACGTTCCGTCAGACGCTGCGGCAGCGGAGAGTGTTTGAGAAAAGTGCGTGCCGCCACCAGAACTTATTGCTTCACTTACTTTGCTTCGTATTGCTTTGCTGGGAGCTTACGAGGAAGCCAGTAGACGTTGTGCAGCCAGGATAGCGGACGCGTCTGGCCTGATGTAGGCGGAGAAGGCCGAAGAGGACCAGCGCCCCAGCTGTTGCAGAGAGGTGTGGGGGAGCCCCAGCGAGGCCGCGCGCGTGGCAGCGCCTATCCTGAAGGAGTGGGCTGTATGGAGCTGGGGAGACAATTGCAGAGGACCAGTAGGGATCTTAGTTGAGCTCTGAACCAGGTTGCTGTCATGGGAAGGTTGTCTGGAGTGAGAATTAGAGGTCCGTTAAAATCTCCTTTTTGCCGCGGAGGCGAGTGTAACGCATCATGGACCTGTAGGGGCAGAGAGATGTGTCGGAGCGAGCTATTATTATGTTGCAGGCGCCTTGGTCTTTGAATGTTTGAGATGGAGGTTGAAATGGTCAGGGGACATTATGTTGGGTGAAAAAGAGCGACCTTTGTGTAATGCTTCCACTATGTCGAGATTATCACGCATGACAGAGAGATCCTCTTTCTCTGCCACGTGTGATTCCACGGCGCGCAGGCCACAACCACTGGGAATATCTCGTGTAGGGCAGAGGAGATGCTCCGGTGGAAGGTAGCGGCCACGGCCCGGCAACCCAATGGTCCTGGAAGAACCCCCCAAAACCCACGGAAGGGGCACGTCCGTGTAGAAGCGGAGACCTGTAGGGGCAGATACATATCTGGGCCATATAGGGCCATTGACGTTGCAGGCGCCCCTACGCTTAGAATCTTGGGTTGGATAGTAGATAATCAGGATAGTAGGATGGTCGGGAAAGCCGTGTCTCGGACCGCATGAAGGTTGAGTGAGCAGTAGTGAACGCTTATGCAGAGAAGCCATAGAAGGCGAGCAGGAAGATGCTGCGAGGAGGGCAGACATGTACTTGGAAGATGAGCCGGAGTTCGGTGCCGCTCAGAGCCGCTGCAGGATGGGCAGCGTGATGGGGAGCCTGCGATCAGAAGAGTGAAGAATACAGGTATGGATGCCTTTGATTAGGAGTCCGATTGACAGCTCAGCGCAGCTACTCGGCCAGCTGCATCTGATAGAATCAGAAGATTAAGTAGAGAGATGAAGCATGACCGCCGACGACCCTGGGAGCATAGGTGCGAGTCCAGCGCAGCGCGGCATACTCAGCCGGGCTGCGTCCATTAGAAGCAGGATAAGCTTCTGAGAGAGTGGGTTGCAGCAGTAGCAGTAGCGGCAGCAGCAGTAACCTCAGATAATAGCAGCAATAATCCTGTATCAAGCCGCGGCAGCAGCAGCGGCAGCAGCAGCAGTAGCAGCGTCCTTAGAAAATAACAGTAATAGTCCTGTATCAAAGCCACAGCAGTAGAATGTTGTTGTAGCTGTTCAGTGTCTCAGAAAAAGAGATGCAGGTGAAGAGAGATGGCAAAGTAAATGAAGCAGCAGCAGCAGTAGCAGTATGAAGCAGCAGCAGCAGCGCGGTAGCAGTAAGAAGCAGCAGCAGCAGTAGCAGCAGCAGCAGCTGCAGCATCCGTAGATAATAACAGCAATGATCCCGTATCAAAGCCACAGCAGTAGAATATTGTTGTAGCTGTTTAGTGTTTCAGTAAAAGAGATGCGAAGTGAAGAGAGATGTCAAAGTACATGAAGCAGCAGCAGCACGGCAGCAGTAGCAGTATGAAGCAGCAGCGGCAGCAGCAGCACAGCAGCAGTAGCAGTATGAAGCAGCAGAAGCAGCATTAGCAGGAGCAGCAGCACCACGATGCGATTCATACAAACAACAGACGTGTCACGCCAGTGTGCGCCGCTTGTCTCCGTGAGCCAGGTTACATACGTGTCTGAAAGAGCCGAGCCGTAGAGACGGGTGCAGCCTGGGAGCCTGCGGAGCGGCAGCGGCAGGAACAGCAGCAGCGGCACATGTAGTAGTAGGAGCAGCAGGAGCAGGCAACGGGGACAGACAGCAGCGGGAGCAGCAGCAGGAACGGGCAGCAGCAGGAGCGGCCGCAGGAACAGGCAGCAGCGGCGGTCAGAGAACCGTGCCCACGGTTGTTTAACAGCCTGAGGAAATAAATCAACCCGAATCCGAAACATTCCCATGCGAATAACAGACGTCCCCTGGAGCCATCTTGCTGCTTTGGTTATGGCAGATACGCATGAACGATCACTGTTCCACGCGTTCATTAGCTCCAACACCACTTCACACCCATTGCAGATTCACATTGGGGCCTTTTTCTTTCTGCTGCACTTTCAAATGCAACGACTGCAGTTTAGTTACCTAATTGAATACCAGTGACCTAGCTATTTAAATGCATGGCCCCTCCTTCCTCCCGCAGATAGACGAATTTAATACAATCATTTAACAATAGTGACCTGCGAGTAATGAGATTAATGCTGTAAATATGGCGCCGTGGCAAGAGCTCTGGTGTGTGCCGTCTGGAGCACAATGGGGTAGTCTTGCAGATTTTTTTTTTTTTTTTTTTCGACGTGGTTTTACTGCGAGTGGCAGAACATGAATCTGAATTAATGCACATTGCGCCTCTTGTATCCCCAGACGATAGAGATTGATGCCATTTAACATGCATTGCCCCTCAGTTAGCTCAAACACGTGTGAAAACGGAGCCTGCAGACCAAGCACAGGGCAAAAAAACTGACGCCTGCAGTCCAGTGCGCGGGGCAAAAACCAATCGCCTGCAGCCCAAAACTCCGGGATTAATCCGTCCGCGGTCGGCACACTCACTGTACTCACATGCCAGGAGACTTGGGAAAAGCAACGGGACAACGCGGCACCGCCAATCGAGGCAGGGACACGCATGGCACCGCCAGACCTTCTGCGTGCGGCAGCAGACCACGAGGAACGAGCAGCACAGAACCCGCGGAGGGCCCCGCGGAGCAGCCCGCAGAAAGAGCCCGCAGAGGAGGAGAGCAGTGGAGACATGCGAACCACAGCAGGTGCAGGGACGCGGAGGAGGAGCAGACCACAAGCAGCCAGACGGAGGACGCCAGGGTCGCGCCGAGTAGCGTGAGTAGACGAAAACGATTCCTCCAGATGATTCTCTGCAAGGCTTCGAGTGCTTGCGAAGCTTCGAGAGGCCGTGAAGTGGGAGTTTCTCCGCTTTTAAGCGGCTGCCTGTCCGGCACGGATGATTGGAAGGGGGCGTTTGCTGTGCGATAGGCTGGGGAAGCGAACCGGCCTGGAGGGGGTTGCTTTTGGCTGACGTCTACCTAATTGAATTTCCGCGAGCTGCATTTTTCACATAAGGTCTTTTCGGCCTCATAAACTTTCAGCCCAAAGCCTCAAATTGTGAATAAAATGCAAATGTTGATGACTGTTGTGATCCTTTACTGTTGTTGCATAAGCTATAACTGAATACATTTATCTATAGCAAATTAAACATCACCTGAAGTGTAGGGTCTATCGGGAAAAGACTCAAAGAGAACCCATTTCTTTGTTCTCTTTGCTCTGTCCGTACATCCATCTTCTCCATTGTAAAGGCTGGCAATGGTTCTGAAAAATATGGATTAGCTCAAGTCAAATCAGAAATTAAGTGCCACAATAACAGAAATGTTCATTCACATGAAATTTACCCAGACTTCCCAGCACAAGTTGCCCGTCTTGATTTATGTGGAGGCTTTCTTCAGTTTGGCTTTCCATCTTTTCCTTAATTTTTTTGTCTTCATTGTGTAGATGAAAAACCAGTCTCAAGCAAAAGAGAAAATGTTCCTCCTTCATTTGGCATAAAAAATACCGGTCATTTGAAAGTTCTCTGTTTTTCTGCTCTGCTTGTGAGGAGTTTAACACACTAGCCAATTCCGGGACAATCTTCAGGCTTCTCAGAATTTCCTCTTCACGTGTTTGATTTTTCTGATGGAAAGTATCATATAATGCATTGTCACTGGATGTGGTGCAATGAATCTTGTGTCTTCTCCAATGTCAAAGTGCTCTCTGTTTCTCCTCTTGAAGACAATGTTTTTTACCCAGGGGAGGTCAATGTCTATTTTATTTTCTTTTGCAGCTTTAATGTTTGCATCTGAAGATGCACAAAGTCTTCCGTCATGTGGCTGAAAGCATTGTTGTCCTGTTCTGTTGTTGGTGTGCCTTGCCACTCGACCTGCTACATCAGAAATGTATATTGTTGGAAGATAGGCAAAGCTTAAAATTCCATCTGCATGGTCCCGTGCACTTTCCGTCCACAATAATGGAGAAAAATAGTATGTCACAGCATGTGTACACCCCATGTGTAAGACACCACCTGTGTGGAAATGAATTGTAATTAGTAAGAAAACTTCTATGTCTTCCAATTTAGTCAGATTGATCAAGAATTAATGCACAGTTTACAAAGTTTGAATAAAAATGTAACAACATTTACCTCCTGTCTTCTGAAGTTTAAGAAACATTTTGGGATAAATGTCCTTGTAGAGCAGCATTTCCTCCAAACGATTTATCAAATCAACTTCCGATCCCTCAGAAGAAAGGCCCAGGTCAGAGCAGGCTTTAATTAATTCGCTCTTCTTTACCTGGTTTCATAATAAAACTAAAGTTAGAAATTATCCCTGCATGTGAAACTGCCTAAAATAACATGGTACCTTCTTAGACTCCAGCAAAGAAAGTATTTGGTCCTCATTAACACTGGTGCACTTGGATCCTTCTTCATTAGTCTTCCCGCCAACACCTTTCAGCATTTCAGTGTGTGGGATGACATTGCCACATCTTGTTTGTGGACCAATCCATGGACAGAAAATGGACAGAGTATCCTGACAGAACGGATTAGGGGCTCTCAACTCTAAACAGTAAATTATGTTTTATTGAGGTAGATCACATTGTATTTGTGTAATACATTATTTTGCTGTAATTTCACATGTTGGCTACAGGCATTTCAGTACAAATATACAACAAACCTTCACATATTCCTTCTGCAATTATTTGTTTCTCCCACTTCTCTTTAATGTCAACAGACAGTTCTTCTTGTGATGGAGTTTTTGTTGGCCTCTTCAGCATACTCACTAAAAGATTGAATGAACATAATAACATGATGCATAACAAGGTGAACACAATTTATGAGTTGAGGGGAAAAGCTACAGTCTGATGGATACAAATGATATCTTATTAGATTATAACTAGTTATTAGTAATTAGCATCATTAATTGTATAGAGAAGGCACATGATTACCGATTGTATTTGGTACTTAATTTTCTAAACAATTATGACATACCAGGTAGATCAACCGACAACTTCCAGTTGGCATCAGACATTACAATCGGGGGATGATGTCCACATCTGTAACAGCTAAAATCATACGAGTAGGCCACCAAAGCAGAAAAATGCAGCCAGCGAAAATTCAATTTGGTAGACGTTAACCAAAATTACCCCCTCCAGGCCGGCTCGCATCCCCAGCCTATCGCTCAGCAGACGCCCCCTTCCAATCATCTGTACCGACTACGCCAGCCGCATAAAAACGGAGAAACTCCCACTCTCGGCCTCTGAAGCCTTGCAGTGTATGCTAGCTAAACGCGCCTGTACACCATGCAATCTTCTACAACCGTCCGCGCGCCCGCGTCTCCTGACGACTCGGCGCCTGACTCCCCTTCCATCCTCCTCCACAACATCTCGCCTATGGCCCCCAGCCCTCGTAAGAGCGTGCGTCTGGCTTCCAGGGACCCAGGGTCGGTGCGCGCCTACCTCGCAGCGCGGGGTGTCGTGCCCGGCCCCGACGCTACGTCTCTCCAGCTCCAGAGCCTCTTCGACCAGCTGTCAGCGGGCTCTACCTCGCCCCGCCGGGACTTGGTTCCCCCTCCCCGCAAACGTCAATCCAAGACGAAGCACACTCAGGCGAAGCGCGCCTGCCTCCCGCGGCCTCCTCTCGCGGATTCCGGGCCTTCCCCTGGATCCTCGGGCTCTTCTGCTGCGGCCTCCCGGGCTCCTCCACGCGCTCGTAGGCCCCGCTCCGCTGGCGCACCTACGGCGGTCCCGGCGTCTTCTCGGGTCGTTCCTCCCGTGGCTGCCCCCCTGGCAGGTCCCGAGGACGCCCCCACTGCGGCCCAGGATCGCGCTCTTTCCTGCGCGCGCACGGACGCTATTCTGTCCGCTGTCTCCTCTCTCCAGCGCACGGTGGCTTCGGTGTCCACGCGGCTTCGTGCCGTCGAGCACCAGGCTCCCGCCGCTGTCCCGGCGGCTTTTCCTGCCATTGTCCCGGTGCCCTCTTCCACGGTGGCGTTCCCCGTGGACTCTCTCGAGGCCGGCTTCTCCCTCGGCACCGCTGTCTCCGCTCCAGCGTCTGGTAGGCCCTACATGCATGCATTTTCCAACGTGTCTCCGCGCCTCCGTTCCAAGATTCTTCTGGGGCGCTATGTCAATTTGGTCTCCCTTATTCTTCCCTCTCCCGAGTGTGACCGGCAGGTGGCCGCTTCGGACCTCATCACCGCGGTCGTGAAGACTGCGTATCCCCGGTTGTCCCGTGAGCTGAACATTGGGGAATTCCTCGTCGCCTTCGGGGTCTACCGCGATGTTATATGCTCCGTGTACCCTGAGCGGAGGCCTGAGCTGGACTCCTATCTAAGCCTGATGGGGGACCTGTCCCTCCGGTACGGAGGCAGCATTTTTTACCGTTATCACAGAGCCTTCGCTGCCAAGGCCGCGGCCCTTATCACCCAGGCGAACTTCCGAGTGGACTGGGCGGCCTTGGACACCGAGGTGCTGCTCCTGTCCATCGGCGGCACCCCCGCTGTTTCTTGCTCCCGGTGCGGCGCTTCGGGACACACGTCCCCCCTCTGCCCGGGCATCCCCTTCGGACACGGTGGGGGCGAGACGTCCAGACCTCAAGGGCCGACTTCCCGTGCGCTCGGGGCTGGCCCCCCCCCACGTATGTAATATATTCAACATGAGCGTGTGCTCCTATAATCCGTGCTCTTACCTCCATGTGTGCAGTGTGTGCAGGGAGGCCCACCCACGCTTTCTGTGTCCGCGGCGCGGCCCGCAAGGCCGCTTCGAGGGGCCTTCTTCCAGGCGCTGATCAGGGCCCACCTCTCGACCCCGGTCTCCGTGCACGGGCTCGCCCGCGCGCTCGAGCTCCATCCCGACCGGGTTTTCGTTCAATTCCTCCTGTCTGGTCTGGCCCACGGCTTTCTCGTGGGTGTCGAGGCCCTCCCCGCGGCGTCTCTCGTGTCCCGCAACCTCCTCTCAGCTTCCCGTGAGCCCCAGGTCGTTACGCGGCTTCTGGCACGAGAGGTGTCCCTGGGCTACGTCATCGGCCCTTTTTCCAGGCCCCCCTTCCCTCTGTTCCGTTCCAACCCGTTAGGCATCGCCACCCGTAAATACTCTGGGACGAAGCGTCTTATTTTCGACCTCTCCTGTCCCCTCTCCGGGCCCACCCCAAGCATCAATAGTCTCATCCCTCTGGCACCTTTCTCCCTGCAGTACGCTACCGTGGACCATGCGATCAGGCTTATAAAGACTTTCGGCCCCGGCTCCTGGCTTTCCAAGGCCGATATCACGGACGCGTTCAAGCTGCTGCCTATCCACCCAGACCACTGGCACCTGTTCGGAGTAAAGTGGCGTTCAGAGTTTTTCTTTGCCGTGCGCCTCACTTTTGGCTGCCGGAGTAGTCCCTCTCTATTTAATAATCTTGCGGAGGCGCTGTGCTGGATCCTGCTAAATTATGTACGGCTCCCCTCCGTCCTGCATCTCCTCGATGACTTTCTTGTGGTAGACCCACCCTCGGACGGCTCCGGGAGCTCTCTCCGCAAACTCAAGCTCGCTTTCTCCGCCCTGGGAGTCCCCTCTCCGAGGAGAAGACCACAGGCCCCGCCACCGCTCTAGAGTTTCTCGGCATCCGCCTCGACACGCGCGCCATGGAGGCCTCCCTCCCGCGGGACAAACTCGAGCGCATCCGCGCTATCTCCCGGTCTGCCCTGTCATCCCTGTCACTTTCGAAGCGTCAGTTGCTCTCCCTCCTCGGGCATCTCAATTACGCCATCCGCATAATTCCTCAAGGTCGCTCCTTCATCTCAGACTCCTCTCCCTCGCCGGCTCCGTCTCCTCCCTCAACGACGCGGTCTGCCTGGACACGGGGTGCCGCTCCGACCTGGCGTTCTGGTCCCGCCTGCTGAGCCGCTGGAATGGCGTCTCCTTTTTCTACAGCGACGTCGTCCTATCCTCGGACGCCCTGCGGTTCTTCACAGACGCAGCCCCGTCCGTGGGTTTTGGGGGATTCTTTCAGGACCAGTGGTTCGCCGGGCCCTGGCCCGACGCCTTCCCTCAAAACATCTCCTCCGCGCTCCACGAGATATATCCCGTGACCGTAGCCTGCGCGCTGTGGAGCCATTCGTGGCAGAGGAAAAGGATTTCCGTGATGTGCGACAACCTCGACGTTGTCGAAATAATCAACAGAGGTCGTTCATCCTCTCCCCAAATCATGACTTTTCTTAGACGTATCACATGGCTCTCAGTCCTGAACAATTTTATTATCACTGCTCGTCACGTCCCTGGTCACCTTAATTGTCTCGCTGATTCTCTCTCTCGTTTCAAATTCCAGGAGTTCCGACGCCTCTGCCCTTCTGCCAACCCATCGCCATGCCAGATCCCCTGCATGGAATCCCTCGCCCTGGACTAGTCCCTCCGTCTCTTCACCTCCTCATCTCCTCCGCTGCATCCTACATGAAGATGGGCCTCTCACCTTCCACACTGAAATCCTACAGCTTCCCTTGGACAGTCTACTCCAGCTTCTGTCACGCCCACTGCATTCCACTCATTCCGCCCTCTGCTGTCACCGTCTGCGCCTTCATAGTTCACTGCGCGGATAATCTCCATTATAAAATCACATACATTCGCGCCCTACTCGCCGGGATACAATTCCAGGCCCGCTGTCACAACCCCGCTTTCTCCTCTCTTTTTTCCGATCCGTCAATCAAACTAGTCATCGAAGGCATTCACAATTGCTCCCCGCATTCCTCGGACCACAGGCGCCCCATCACACTGTCCATCCTCCACCAGCTCTGCGCCGCACTCAGCTCCAGCTCGCTCTCAAAGTACGCCATCGCCCTCCTGTCCAGCGTCTTCCTCCTCGCTTTTTACGGCTTCCTACGCATAAGCGAATTCACTAACCCCCACGCCACCTTTAATGCAGCCCAAGACATTGCCTTCTCCGACCTGTCTTATTACCCCGACTACTTCAACCTCCACCTCAAGCATTCCAAACGCAAAGGCGCTTGCAATATAGTCATAGCTCGGTCTGACACTTCTCCCTGTCCCTACAGATCCATGATGCATTACACTCGCCTCCGCTCTCGGAAAGGAGATCTCAACGGACCGTTATTTCTCACCCCCGATCACCTCCCAATGACATCTAACTGGTTCAGAGCCCAACTAAAGTCCGTACTGCTGCTTTGTAACCTGTCTCCCCATCTCTACACAGCTCACTCCTTCCGGATAGGCGCCGCCACGCGCGCCGCGTCCCTAGGACTCCCCCATTCTGCCCTCCAGCAGCTAGGCCGCTGGTCATCATCGGCCCTCTCCTCATACATCAGGCCTGACACCTCGACCATTCTGACAGCCCAGCGCCTCTTGGCATCGCCATAAATCACTCACAAAACTTCCTGGTGGCGGCAGCAGCCGAGTATCCGCAAGTATTGATCACAGTAGATAGCGGTCACAGCATATAGCGATAGCGGTCACAGCATATAGCGATAGCGGTCACAGCATAGCATAGCGGTCACAGCATAATGGTTACGCATAGCGGTCGGTCACAGCATAGCAAAAAATGGTTAGCGGTCACAGCATATAGCAAAAAATGGTTAGCAGCATTGTGCTGGCGGTCACAGCATATAGCGATAGCGGTCACAGCATATAGCGATAGCGGTCACAGCATATAGCGATAGCGGTCACAGCGAATAACGATAGCGGTCACAGCATATAGCGATAGCGGTCACAGCATATAGCGATAGCGGTCACAGATAGAGCAACGACGTCTGTCCCCTCCAAACCAGGCTTCGAAAACTCCATCA